AAGTAACCGCAACCAACTATAATAAAAATTCTTTAGCGATTCAATATTCTAATAAAAAATTTCATTCTAAGACATTGAAAATTGCTTTTAAAATCAAACCTCAATATATTCTTAAATAAACATATTACTAATGATTGAACGAATGAACAAATGTGTTTGAAAATAATTTTAATCATCTTCGAACCATTGTTATAATGGTTATTATAATGAATCCAAGTCAGGTTAAAGATATTTACTGGTTATTAGTGTTCTTAAATTCAAAATTTCTTCACACGAGAAACTTACCAATACAACAATTTTAATCGTCATTACAGAATAGTTAATAACAGAAAATCATAAAAACCTTTAAAAATTTTCAATTCTTAAAATAATTTTTAATACTAAATTTTTACAAGCGAAAAAATTGTCACATGATTTAATATCATGATATAAAACATCATACTAGAGTAAATTATTTGAGATTTTGTTAAATTTTCGAATAATTAATATTTTTAGTGATCATAATTAAGTGAAAAATTTTTGAAAAAAAACTTTTAAATTACTCAATTTTTCAATCCTTTATTTTCAAGTTAAGACTTTTAAAATAAGTCTCTAAAAGGGAACAAAAAGTGGAACCATGCGACACCTAGCGGTGAATTTTAGACCTACTCTACCTTTTTCGCTTTTTCTACTTATTTTATTGTTTAATAAATTGTTTTATTTCTAATAATAAAAATTTCCAGAGTTTTGACTTTAAAATTTTTTTAATAATTTAGAAGGAATTAAAAAAAAATTTTTTTTTCGAAATTATCTTCAATATTAAATACTTTTCTAAAAAATTGGAAATATTGCAATTAATATCAGTGAATTTAATCGTCAGATTACTTTAAATAATATTGTAGAAAATTGTGATCTGTTTTTAAAATTGATAGACTTATTTTAAATTTTTTAGACTAAATTTATCAATCATTCATTTCTTAATTCACAAATATTCCGATGAAAAATTGGTAGCTTACACAAGTTACGAGTGCAACCTTATAGTACATAAATGAAGAATTGAATGATTTACTATTTAATAAAAAATCAGAAACGTCAACAGTCACAGATTTACCAAGAATAGTCTAATAATATCAGCTAAGATTAAATTTTTCAATTAGAAATAATAGAATAAAAGTTAAAGTACAATTTTATAAAGCAATTATTCTTTTTGCTCAAAATTATATCGCCTAGAAACCCAGAACATAATTTCGTGCCACAATGTGATGATGAATACCAAATATTTTTTTTTTATAGAATAAAAACAGAAAATGGAAAAATATCTCAGAACCCAGCAAAGATAGACAAAGAATATGGAACATACTGATCAATCATTTATTAAACATTGTATAGAAATCACAAGAAAAAAAAAACAATAAAGCATGAGATAAACAACTATGAAATGAACAATTTGAATCCTTCCAAAAAACCTTTAATGGATTTCGATAATTGTAGAGAGTATTATTCTGATAGAAAATGTTTCTTAAACTATTTTAGAGTACAATTCATAAGCACATCTTGTGATATTAAAAGTACATAACTTGAATTAATAAAAATTTATAAGTTATAAAAACTTCAGTTTTATAGTTATGTCTAAAATTCAAAAAAGGAGTTTCAAATTATTATTGAAAAATTATTCTTAAGACAAAAAACTCTTCAAAAAATTACTGTAATCTAATTGATTTAATTTTGTGACTTAATACTTACAAAATAAGTTTCTACAAGCGGACAAAAAGTGGAACTATGCGACGCCTAGCGGTAACTTTTAGAACCAAGTTTTTTTAATCTTTTTATTGAATTTTCGGGATAATCTTGCAATATTCTTTTGAATTTAATGATATTAAATAATTTAATAAAATTTATTAGATAAATTTTCGAACTGAATTCAAATTCAAATTTGCGAGATAAATTAAAAAAATCATTGAAAGTCGGCAAATATTAGCTTAAATTAATTTTTCCAAATTTTGAATTTGATACCTTAGATATAAATTTCTACTTGCGAACAAAAATCGAAGCTATGCGACGCCTAGCGGTGACTTTTGGAACTACTTATTTTTTTCCCTTTCTTTCTCTGTAAGCATATTGTATAATGTTCTATAATTTCTGAATTTTTTATTGAATATTTATACTCAAAAAATTAGAGCAACAATATTTTATTTTACAACAATAGAAAATAATTTTGTATATTTAGTGGAAAAAATAACAATTGTTTAATCCAGAGCTCGGCTATTTATTACGATTTCATTGTATTCTACAAAATAACAATGTTTTTTTTACTGAAAAGAAAAAGTAAATTTACAATAATAAAAACACTATGCGCGCTCCGAGATGAAGAACGCCCGAAAACACAAAACTGAAAATTAGTAATTCAAATCGGCGGTTGCTAGTTAAGAAAGAAGACAACGCAGCCACAGCCGTACTCTAGTGAGGTTGATCTCGTTTTATCTGAAATAAAAGCACCAGACTTAAAAGCTGTGGCTGAGAGATAGAACGAAAGTTACCCGCATTGCGGAGTAGTCTGGGCGTTCGTTCTATCCCTCCTGTATCTGGTTGTGGGTTTCGGTGAAACACAATCAAACCCGTGACCTATTTACATTCTACTTCGCTGGATCCATAGATATAATGCTATTCAGTCGTTGTTTTATGAAGAATTTTCATTGGAAAGTCAGTAATTGATCGATTAGTGGGAAAATTGAGGTTAGTTTTAAAAATTTTTAATAGGTGGCGCCACTAAACTTTTCAATTTTACGGTAAGATTTGCATTGAAATATTAATAACTTCAATCATAATTATAATAAATTTAAGCTATTAAATTTGTCGACTTTCGATGATTTTTTTAATTTATCTCGCAAATTTAAATTTTAATTCGGTTCGAAAATTTATCTTATAAATCTTATTAAATTGTTTAATATAATTAAATTTAAAAGAATATTGCAAGATTATCCCGAAGATTCAATAAGTAGATAAAAAAACTTAGTTCTAAAAGTCGCCGCTAGGTGTCGCATGGTTCCGCTTTCTGTCCGCTTGTAGAAACTTATTCCGTAAGTATTAACTCAAAAAAGTAATTAAATTAGATAAAAGTAATTTTCTGAAAAATTTCGATCTTTATAATAATTTTGAGGCAATTTGAAGCTACTTTGTTAGATTTAGGGGTAATTTTAAAATTGAAATTTTTGTTGTCTATTTTTCATATCACAAAATGATCTGACAAATTGACCGATTTGAATTACTAATTTTCAGTTTTGTGTTTTCGGGCTTTTACCATTTCGAAGTGCGCATAGTGTTTTTATTATTATAAATTTTTTTTTCTTTTTTTCAGTAAAAAAACATTGTTATTATGTAGGATATAATGAAATCGTAATAAATAGGTGAACTCTGGATTAAAAAATTGTTATTTTTACACTGAATATACAAAATTATTGTGGATTTACTTTTGTAAAATGACATATTGCTGCTTTAATTTTTTTTAGTATAAATATTCAATAAAAAATTGAATTGAATTGAATTGAATTTATTGATTTATGCCAAAGCCTTCACTGGCCAGATGGCAATAGAAAAATATACATTTTGTGAATACAATACATTTTTAAATTTTTTGATTTAAACATAATAATTATAACTTATATATAATTATACATAATCCCGGGAAAAACGGATTAGATCTGGTCATATATAAACAGATCTGGCCAGATCTGTTTATATATGGCCAGATCTTTAAATTGTCTCTATCTGACGAGATCTGGCCAGATATAATCAGATCTGGTCAAATTTTAAAATTGCCCAGGTAAAAATGATTATATATAATTATATATACTCATACATAATTATATACGAAAAATGGCCATATATAATTATATAGAATTATTTTCATAAAAAAAAAAAAAAAAAAAAATTTTGATTATATATAATTATATATACTCATACATAATTATATACGAAAAATGGCCATATATAATTATATAGAATTATTTTCATAAAAAAAAAAAATTCGGCGCGCACGGGAACCGAACCTGGGACCTGACGCTTGAGAGACTAATTCATTACCTGTTTACCAACGAGACTTGCTTGAAACGAGAGTAGGTAGAGTTTGTAATAAGTATACTTAATAGCCTTAGCAGATCTGGCCAGATCTGTTTATATATGGCCAGATCTAATCTGTTTTTCCCGGGTACAAGTAATGTGAATCGTGTCCATGATCGATGCGTAATAAACAAAGTTTTTTATCAAATTTATTACAAATTATTAATTATCAATATACGCTGATGGGAAGATTTATTAACTATTAACAAATTAATTTATTCGAAAACAATTATTTAATTTATTAAATTCTAATAAATATTTTTTAATATTCAATAAATATTTATTTGGGAGGAAAGTATATTTAGTAAAATAGTTTATAAGTATTTATTAATAGTTAACAAATATAGTTATATCTGGCCAGATATAATAAAATCTTTTTATGTCTGATTTTTTTTTCAACCCAGATATAGTTATATCTGTTTATATCTGATCAGATATGACTAGATCTGATCATGTCTAATGTATTTATCAACCCAGATATAGTTATATCTGTTTAGATCTGATCAGATATGACTAGATCTGATCATGTCTGATGAATTTTTCAACTCAGATATAGTTATATCTGTTTAGATCTGATCAGATATAGCTAGATCTGTTTAGATCTGATCAGATATAGCTAGATCTGTTTAGATCTGATCAGATATAGCTAGATCTGATTATGTCTCCAATCCCATGTCTGATCAGATCTAAACCGTTTTCCCCGGGATAAGATATTAGAAGAAGTAATATTGCTTATATACTAATATTAAAGAAACAACTTAAGTGAAAATGAAAACTAATAGATTACAATATTTATGATTATGATTTTAAAGATTTTAATTTTAATAATTTTAGTGATTTAATAATTTTACTGTATTTAATAATTTTAAAAATTTTAAAGATTTAACTGAAAATTTATTTTAGATTTAGATGTCTAGATTAAAAAGGTAATCATAAAGCTTATTTTTAAAAATTTCTATACTGGGAGCATTTATCACATCGTTTGGTAATTCTTCCCAAAGACGAATGCAAATAACTACAAATGATAATTCATAGATAGTTATAGTATATTTAGGTAACTTGAAATTTACATAATTCTTTTTTGCTGCTAGTCTTACAGAATGTCTAGTATCAATATCTTCAATAAATAGTTCTCGTAAGTAGCTAGGTTTGCTTATACTAAACAGTTTATAAAAATAACATGCTAAGTAGTACATTCGGCGAGTTTTTACTGATAGCCATCCAAGCTCTCGTCTATATGGTGAAATATGTTCATCCTTTTTCAAATTATAAATAAAACGAATCGCTGTATTTAATGAGCGTTGTAATTTACAATTCTCATCAGCAGTACAACTAGTTAATACTATAGAACAATAATCGATAAGCGGTAATATAGTTGCTGAGACTAATAACCTCCTAATGTCTTTAGTATAGATGTTTTTTCTTATTTTTAAACTATATAACGCTGAATTAATTTTATTTACAGTCTTTGACACATGCAAACTCCAAGATAAATTATTTACAATATGAAGACCTAAACACTTAGTTGACTCTACGTAAGGGAGTGCATATCCGTCAATGACAATTGGTAGAATACCATTTGCTTGTAACTTTTTTAGCCTAGAACTTGAGCCAAGAATCATTGTTTTAGTTTTGGATAGATTTAATTGCAAGCCATTCTCTCTTGTCCAATCAGCAACAGCCTGAGCATCTATCGTAATTTGTCTAATAGCGTCTTGAAGTTGATAGTCGTAGAAATGAAGGTAAATGAATTGATCATCCGCAAACAGACCATAATTTGTATAAATTAATCGCTTAGCTACCGAGTTCATTACTATTAGAAATAATATCGGTAAAAAATTAAGAAATTCTAGAAAATTATACAATATGTTTACAAAAAAAAAAGGAGAAAAAATAAGTAGTTCTGAAAGTCACCGCTAGGTGTCGCATGGCTTCGATTTTTGCTCGCTGGAAGAAATTTATTTCTAAAGTATCAAATTCAAATACTAGAAAAATTTTATTAGATAATGCGATTCAGTAATTAAATAACAACTTATTGGAGTGTAACAAAATTTTACACATAAAAATATATTAAAAAAGAAGTTAATGTTTAATAAAATAAATTTTTCAATTTTAAGGTGTGATTTGCATTTAAAAAATTTATAATTTCTAGAGATAGTTTTTCGGTGGATATATCTAAAAAATACGCATAATTATAATTAATTTAAACTATTATTTGTTGACTTTGGACGGTTTTTTTTAAATTATCTCGCAAATTTAAATTTTAATTCCGTTCAAAAATTTATCTTATAAATTTTATCAAATTATTTAATATCAATAAATTTAAAATAATATTGCAAGATTATCCCGAATAATAAGTAGATAAAAAAAATACTTGGTTCTAAAAGTCGCCGCTAGGTGTCGCATGGTTCCTCTGTCTGTCCGCTTGAAGAAACTTATTCCCTAAGTATTAAGTTAAAAAATTAAATCAATTTGATGAAAGTAATTTTTTGAAGAGTTTCGATTTTTATAATAATTTTAAAGTAATTTGAAATTACTTTGTTGAATTTTAGATATAATCATAAATCTAACGTTTTTTTTTTGGGTAATTTTAATGTCACAATTTTTCCAAGAATATGATAATAATTTCTACAATCATAGAAATTTTTCAGTGACATGTAGTTATGGATTGAAATTGTTAATACTTAATTTCTTTCGTACTGTATTACCTTTTTAAACTTTTTATTTCTAAATAACATTTATTGATTATTTCAAATTGGTCAAATGTTCCATATTCTTTATATATCTGTGTAATTTTCTCCCATTTTTTCATTTTTGGTTCTATTCTATAAAAGTATTAAATTATCTGGACTATGTTCTATCCCAAAATTAGTAATGGTGATTTTTATTGGTTCTTATAACTTTTAGCCAAAGGGAAATTAATTTTTTTCACAACATTGTACTTGTAAAAGTTCCATACTCTTTATTATTTTCAGCTGAGTTTTGAAATATTTTTTCATTTTCTATTTCGATTCCATAAGAAAATATATTTGTATGTCTTTTGCTATAAATAGCTTCAAATCTATCTTCAGCCCATGAAACATTTTTCTTGTAAAGTTAGTAATAGATAAATTAGAGAACACAAAATTTAAAATAAATTTATTCAATTCTGTCAAATTAAATAAATAAATCCACAAAGTACATTAATAAAAATATAATATAATGCACTGTCAATTGACATAAATTTATTTAGGAAATCGGCAACTATCTCCAAAATATTCTTTTAGAATTTTTTTCAAACTGATAAGGCTATTCTTTCGTTCCTTAATCAGTAGAAGATCGTTTAATATTTATAGTTTATTAACTTTTATTCATTTTTAATTGATTTTTTTTAAGCCATACACTCAAAATTTTCCCAGCTTGATTTCTCTCAGCTTCAATTTCTTTAAAATATAAATTAATAAAGTATAATTAATGTTATTTCATAAAATATTTTGATTTGAAAGTGAGTAATTAGTTCTTTAGCATAAAATTGAATTTATTTCTAAAAAAACTCCGATAGATGGCGCTGCTACTTAATCTTCTCGCATGTGGTCGGGTAAAAATAATATTTTTTGCAAAAATTATAGCAAGAGCGCTTAGTTTGTTCAAAAATTGAATTCTAAAGCCTTATAGTCAACAAATGCTTATTTTTTACTACAAAAATGCAATTTATGTCAAAAAAATTGAATTTTTCAGAAAGTTTCTGAATATCTAGCAACTAATTAGGAAAATATAGAGCGTTAGTGTCTAGTCTGATGACCCTGTTTAATACGCCAGAATAATTTCAAGTGGGACAGATGTTAATGACATCGATCAGCGGGCGTACCATCAGCACCAGTAAAAGCTGATTCACCACGACCACAAACACCATGACAATGACAATTGTTAAGTTCACATCCCTGGAGTCTACAATTCAGTTCCCAGTCTCCGGTCCGCAATTCGCAGTTCAATCTACTAGAGGGTTTGTATGCGTGAGTGATATACATGTGATATGTGTGGGTGGTATGAGGAGCAGAGTACACTCAGTGGTACTGGTTTAAGTATAGGATGACAATCAATCACATTTTACCATTTGACGGCATTTTCAGCGAGCGATCAATGAAAATGTCAACTACGAATTTTTGATATGGTTTGTTATTTGCTTAGAAATTATTAGTCTCAATTTTTTTGGTAAAGGGTCAATTATTATTATGACAATTAAATTGTATTTAAATAGAAGAATAATTATCAAGTTACATCAATCGGAACAAAAACAGTTTCACTGTAAAAAAATCGCGCCAAGTCCACGTTCATAAGACTATTAAGAAAAAAAAATTTTATTTCTTTACAAAAAGATATAAAATAAAAAATTAAAAATCCAAGTAACCGAAATGGTTGTATATGATTTTCGGAAATTAAAAAAAATTTTTTTGTAAATTTAAAAATTAAAAGAAACAATTTTGGGACGTATTTAGTGTGCGTGGTTACGAAATATTTTATTTTTTATGAAATTCCTAAAATCTATCTACTAGGACTTTAAAAAAAAATTGAAGTACACAATGACGCACACCAAGTACGTCCCAAAATTTTTTTTTTAATTTTTAAATTTACAAAAAAGTTTTTTTTAATTTCCGAAAATCATAAACAATCATATCGGTTACTTGGATTTTTCAATTTTTTTATATTTATATCTTTTTGTAAAGAAAAAAACTAATTTTTTTTTCTTAATAGTCTTATGAACGTGAAATTGGCGCGATTTTTTTTACAGTGAAACTGTTTTTGATCGGATTCCTCGTGTACATAACACGTGATGTGAGTTCATGAGACTCAATTAGAATTATATTTTTTTCGGAATTGACTGTACGAATGTGTTTGTATTTTTAAACTAGCATCACGTGGGGATGTCACGTGGCTGCATTCTGGTGGAGGCTAAAAGTCGTTACGATGTGTCGATGTAGATCCTACTGTTACTAGGTAATCGGGAGATGGTTCTATCTAGAGAAATTATCATATTTTTCGCATTATTTCTGATTTGTATCTTTAAGGTAGTGCACTCTTAAAAAAAGTTTCACGATCGGTCAAAAAAACTGAAACCTGTTATAATAATTTTCTTAGAATAACCCAAAAAAAATTTTAAAT